CTTCGTCGTTGGGGCACAGATCAAAGAATCTCGGTGCATCTGCCACCGAAAGTTTAGCAAAAGTCTGATCGATATCATCGAAATGTGGAGATAAATAGAATGTATACTTGATGCGTATACTAGTATAGTACTAGTAGTCTGTAGACCTGTGGAGCTCCGTGTCATCACTTCTCTGCGCAATAAAAGATCCCCCAACGATGCGTTGGCTTAGCACTTCTCTTGTCGCAGCTTCCCTGTCGCTAGGGCTATCGGCTATTGGCCATGCGTCCCAGATCGACCACAAGGGCAATATCTGCACGGTCAAAGCGAACGGAAATCAGACGGACGATGTGCCGAGACTCCTGGAAGCGTTTCAGAAATGCGGCCACGGGGGCACCATTGTCTTCCCCAAAGACCAGTCGTATTGGATTGCTTCGCGCCTAAACCCAATCCTGAGCGACGTGACAATCGAATGGCGGGGGAAATGGACGGTGCGACTTGCATGCTTTTCGACCCTTCGTACCATGTGCAACTAACCGACTTCTTCCCATAGTTCTCCGATGATCTAGAGTACTGGCGCAATAACTCCTACCCAGTTGCTTTCCAGAACCATGCTGCGGGCTTCGTGATCACCGGGCACAACATCACTATCGATGGATACGGCACCGGAGGCATCGACGGCAACGGCAATGTCTGGTATACCGCTGAAGCGGGCACCACTCAGCCCGGAAGACCGATGCCCTTCGTCTTTTGGAACGTCTCGGATGTACATGTTGACAATTTCTACGTCAAGGACCCGCCGCTGTGGGCGCTCAATATCATGAACGGCACCGATATGCAGTTTAACAACATCTACTGCAATGCGACAGCAGTGGATGCGCCCTACGGGGAGAACTGGGTCCAGAATACAGACGGGTTTGGTAAGTAGAGTCATGCATCCCATGTGAATGCGCATGGACTAACACGTGTCGTCCGACAGATACAATGGACGCGAGAAACATCCGTCTCACCAACTTCGTATATCAAGGTGGAGACGACTGCGTCGCGATCAAGCCCAGATCCTACGATATTTATATTCACAACGTCACCTGTCGTGGCGGCAATGGCATCGCCATCGGCAGCGTGGGTCAATATAAAGAAGACTCGAGCGTAGAGAATGTGCGGATCGACAAGGTCAAGGTACGTATCTCCCGGTTCATCAATATATCCCGTCACAACTGTCACTGACGAAAACAGCTCATCCGATACAACGAAGACATGCATGCCAGCGCCTACATTAAGACATGGATTGGCGTGCCCACTCCGCAGGACTCCTACGAGAGTGCCGGTCTCCCCCGCGGCGGCGGCTGGGGCAATGTCAGTGATATCATTTTCTCGAATTTTGAGGTTCAGGGTGCCAACTCAGGTCCTATGATTTATCAAAATGAGGGCAATAACGGCTCGTTTGCTGGTACGAGTTTCATGACTGTTTCGGGCATTACCTTTGCCAATTTTACGGGCTATGTCGCCAACGAGGACGAGGTGACTTCGACTATCTCGTGTTCCAAGGATCATCCTTGTTATGATATCAATTTTGATAATGTGGTTTTGTATCCGGGAAAGAATGCATCTAAGCCTGGAATAGGCTCTTGCAAGTGGACTACTGACGACGGGGTTTAGGGACTGGAGGGATGTTAAACCTGTGGGTTTTGAATCCGTGAATATTTAGCTGACTGGACATATGATCAGAGATATGTATATAGATCATCAACAGTTACTCAATATGACGAAGACCTATGATAAGATACGTGAAGGCTAGTACGAAGACTGCCAGTTCAGAATTAAATAGCTCTTCCACTTCCTAGCGGCGTCGGTATCAAGGAAAATAAAATCCAGCTTTTGGGTATATACACAACAAATATGTGGAAAGATTCCAGTGACACAAGAAATAAGCGATTGAGTTAACAGTAACTGACCAGTCCTGTTCCCCAATTGCATGCTGGCTGCCGATATCCCCCTCCGCAGATGCAAAGCTCATACTAAGCGCAAATCACGTCAGGCTAACCCACCGACACCCCAATCACCTCAAGGACAGATATCTCAACAACGGAGCGACAACCGTTCGGTTAGTTTAGTTACTATGTCGAAACTGTGGGGTATCTTTGCGCAACGGATGCTGAGAAATAATGCATGGTGTCCCTCAACTATAAGTAGGGCGATAGAGCTGTGTATGGTTCAAGATGTCTCGAAGCTATCTTTCTTGTTCTAATAAACATCAATTGGACCCCTTTATCAACTCTCAATTGAATTATCATACCATGGGTCCCCGATACCGCAGCGTAGCAGTCATTGGCACCGGCCCGTCGGGCGTTTCGGCCGTCAAAGCCTTGAACGATGAGAAGATCTTCGACACCATTCGCGTCTTTGAACGACGGGATCGAGTCGGAGGCCTCTGGCACTATGACCCAATCCCCGACCCCTTTCCGACCTCTACTTCATCAGGTGTGAAGCAGAGTAGAATCCCATCAAACTTCCCAACCTTCACGCCCCCGGTACTGGAAGACACAACAGCGCGAACAGCTATCTACGACACCCTTGACAGCAATGTCGGCGCCGGCGCCATGGCATTCACACATTCCTCGTTTCCAGAGGTCAATTCTGCCCTCTCAGTCAGGCAATATGGGAAGGCAAATCCCTCCCGTCCGTTCCGGGTTGTGGCTTCATATCTGGAAGATCTATTCAAGGAGTATCTCCACCTTGTCTCTTTCAACACGACAGTAGAGAGAGTGGAAAAGAAAGACGACAAATGGACGGTTACGCTTCGGAAACCAGGTCAGCTGCGCAACAATCAGCCAGCAGATTACTGGTGGCAAGAGCACTTCGATGCCGTGGTGATCGCATCGGGACATTACAACGTCCCCTGGATCCCGGACATAGCAGGTCTGGACCAAGCCTCCAGGACCCATCCGACGAAGTTCGAACACTCGAAGGCATTCCGCTCGGCAAACGATTACGTCGATAAGAAAGTGATCGTAGTCGGAGGGAGCATATCCTCCGCCGATCTGGTAGCAGATCTACACCCCATCGTCAAGGGCCCGTTGTATCTCTCCCTGAGAGGCAAAAACGAAGCCTTGCAAGCTGCCTGGGAGCTTCCCAATGTCGAGAGGAAGCCGACGATTGAGCGCGTCCAGACAACAGAAACGGGGGTCAATGTGTTTTTCGCCGACGGGAGTGTCGTTGAGAACGTGGACAAAGTCATATTCGCAACAGGGTACAAGCTCGCATATCCGTTCCTCAATCCCAATCCCACCACGCCCAACAACCGTGTGGCCGGGTTCTACCAGCATATCTTCAAGATCGGGGATCCATCGCTAGCGCTCGTAGGCCAGGTGCGAGCCGCGATTAGTTTCCGGGTCTATGAGTATCAGGCCGTCGCTGTGGCGCGGTATTTCGCTGGTCGGAACGCAAGGGCTTTGCCTAGTCCGCAGGAGCAGGATCTGTGGGAGGTCGAAAGGCTGAAGTATAAGGGTTCAAACTCACTCTTCCATGAGATTAAGCCTGATTTCAAGGAGTATTTTGATTTTCTCCGTGATTTAGCAGGGCCTCCTGCGCCGGGAACAAGTGCTTATGACTTGCCGCCGTGGGATGATAAATGGGCTGAGCTGGGATTCGGGGTGTTGGGCCTGAAGGATCAATACTGGAGATCGCTGAAAGCTGCTGCAGGACAAGTGAGGGCCAAGCTGTAGGGATATGTGCATATAGCTATGTGAGATGAATATGCGTGTGATAGAACCTTTGCTGTATTGGGAGGAGATAATCTCCAGTGATGGTAGTCATCCTTGTAATGGAATTTAAACCTTCTATCTCTACCATGAATTACATCAGTCTTTTATCCCACAACCCGGATATATGTTCATACTCTACCCCAGCAACCTCAATGGCCGTACTACTTTCGACAACAACAACAGCAAAAATAATACGTCCCCTCCGAGCCACTAACCTGAACCTAACAAAAACACTGGCAGCCTGGTACATACTTCGAGTAAATAGATCGCAAACCCACCAATCAAAAGCATACCAAATCTAAAAGTAAAAAGCAACCAATCAAACACCCCACGCGGGGCGAACCAAACAGCAGCTCAATTCGATCCGAAAAGTAAAAACCAACCAGAAACCAAAAAACGAACCAATCTCCAACGTCGCATTTCTTATCACCCGCAATTCATACCTACAATTATCACCATCACACAAAGCTTACTGCAACGTTCGCATACTCAACCACAACTATACTACTACTACTACTACTACTACTACTACTAC